TTTCTCTCTATTCTTCATTTGAGGCTATGGATCCAAACTATCCAAATTATTTTTTCAACTCCCAAAACTATCCAAACTCAGACAACTTACCCAACTCCGAAAATTATCCAATTATTTTTACATTATAATTATATATTTTTGTTATTTTTTAATTTAATACAAATTAATATATCTAATTTTATTTAAAAATAAAGTGAAAAGAAAAAATATTAGGTTGGGTTGGTGTCATGGATAAAAGTAGAAATAGAGTTGGGTTGTGGGTTGTATATGTGGAGGAGAGAGAAATGAGTATTTTATTAAAAGAATTGGGTTGGGTTGGGTTGGGTTAGGTCATGAATAAAGATAGTCTAAGGGAATGAAAATTATACATATCATAAGCTATAATAAAGCAGGCAAAAACTCCCAACGTCATAAGAAGATAAGAAAGCTATTCCACAGCATTCATATTATGAACCAAAAGAATTGTAGACCAATCCCTACACAAAATCCCAATTTCAGAAAATCAAGTTACCAAGAGAACAATTTTCTTTCCACATCTCTCAAGGAATCAGCGAAAGAATATGCATCGCACCACTTGTTACGACAATTACCAAAAGTGAACATCATCTGAATCAAATAATGTATATCACAGCAGTAACTTCTACAACATAATGAACCAATGGATTGGACACATTTTTCTTACAGTTCATGTGACTAATAATAATACACGACACAATTGACATGGCCGGTTTGAAGAATTTAAAAAAAAAAAAAAAAAATCAAAATCTCTAAATAAAGACCTAATTTTGGCTAACTATGACATGATACATTATAGCCCGCAGACAAATAACACAGTCTGACCAGTCCCCAAATAAGCATTTAATTTAATAAACAGAAAAAACAAACCTATTTTCTCATGGCAGCAAAGCAAAACCTCAAGAACCGAAAGCATTTGTGTCTTGTTTGGATGCCGCTTTAAGCAAGGGCATAAGTAAGTGTTTCTTCTTCTTTAGGCCGCCACATGGATTTCTGGGCACATAACAATCCTTCCTTGTCCTTTGAGTAAGTCATCCGGATGTCCCATTGCATGGACTTGAATATGCCCTCAAGTTCACTAATGATCTCTACAGTGTCACGGACAATTATTTTTCCTTCTGGTCTCAAAATCCTATCAACCTCGGCTACCAAGCCCATGAAATTGCACCTGTAGCACCCAATATCCCAAAGACTTAGAAAAAGATCACAAAATAACATTAGCATAAACTCAAATTCAAGGGAACGTTATGTGATGATACGTACTTCTTTTTTATCTTTGAGAAAAGATGGTCAGCGTGGAGAAGGTCGTAAGATCTTGGATATGTACTGAATGATTCGCACCAGTCATGATAAATTCCAAATAAACCACGTTCGTAAATAATGGGCAATGTATCTGGAGCATCTACAGAGACGACATTCATAACCCACACATTCAGTTCCCTCATTGCAGCAGCCAATCTGCAAATTTAGAGTCATTCATTAGCACATGTAATACCAAAAAGCTACTTAACAAGAAATACATAATATGATCATCGAGCAATTCTGGAGAACAGATTTTTATCTTAAAATTGTTAAGAGTTAAAGTAAAGCATATTAAAATTTTCTCCAATATGTTCATATTTTTTCTGCAGAGATTTCCATATAGTGAGATATTGAGCAATTCAAAAACAAAAATAAGGATATAGAATGGTAAACAATCTACATTCAGAAAGGAAAGTCTGAACAAGACCAATAAGAAAGAAGAGTTGGTTTTTAAAAACAGGAACAAGTTAGTCAGGAAAATAAAATCCGCAGATTGAATGAAATAGAACTATAAAAAAGAAAACATAGGATGGTTTTAAACCATCTTTAAGAGAGTAGGAAAAGTTTTTTTTTTGTCTTTGCTGACTCACCCTCCATAGACAGCTCGCATATCCATGACATTCCTAACAGTAGACCAGTTTATTCCCAGTCCTTTTAGATATGAATTGTTAACCACACGTTTCCAGTGTTTATAATCCACATCAAAATCTTCAGGAGCTGGCTTGCCATAAACCCCAACCTCAGAGTTTGACAACCAGTAAGGCACCTTCTCAACCCTAGCAGGCCACTGTTCTGGCCACTGGGCCCCGCGTTCGGACGAAGTAACAGGAACTTTGTGCATGCATGTTTGCAAAGGCACATTCCTGATTGTTATATAGACAAACTCAAAAATGGTCAAAATAAAAAACTTGAATCCCAGCTTCTGCTTTAAGCGAAAAAACTTGCAGAATCATGCTATAATCAAAATCAATGTTCCTACAGATAAAATAAAACACATACCAGGCAGCATTTGCATCATCAGAATCTTGACATAGAGGGGGCTCACTTTTTGACCTCTGTTCATAGCATTCATTTGTAGTGGGCTTACGGTACACGGCGATTCCAACTCCATTTATTCTGTCCTTGGTTATCGAGATAACTTCCCAGCACATTGCTTGTGTCAACTTCTTCATGGCTGCCACAAGTAATACACGGACTATCAACTTTTGGTCCAAGTATCAAAATAACATTATGAGCTTTTGATAAAGTGACTAAGAAAATGCACCTTCCCATATCTCAACGTCCTCTGCAAGTTTCTGGTATATGGGTGTTGCAGACCAAACAAAGAATCCTCCAGGTCGCAGTACACGGTTCAGCTCCAAGAGAAGCTTGCCACCTAAGCAGCGCATTAAAGAACAATATCATGTCCATTCAAAATAAAAGATATGTCATTACAAATTAGTAATGTTTCTTTACGAATGTCATACCTTCGATATGCCAGGGAACCCTACAACGTGCACAATGAACAACATCAAAAACTCTGCCAGGATATGGAAGTCTCTTGGTACCCATAACGGCAGATATTGCTGGGATTCCTCTCTCAAGTGCAAATTGAACCTGAGCCTCATGTTCGTCTTTTGGGGCTAATGACATGGTCAGCACATCCCTATCAAAGAGGAAACCCCCAAAACTAGCAACCCCACAGCCAACGTCCAGAACCACACGCGAACGCTTGCCCCAGGAAATTTCAGGTACAGACTACACAAGAAAATGTGCCAAAGCAAGTTAGAATAGCAACTCACTCATTAGGGTCAGTAAACAGGTTTCTGCATCTACTCTGACAAGAAGGAAAAAGAGACCTATAAAATTAGAAACTGCAACCGAGCACTCCTTAATTTGAAAAGTAACAACACAATGCAAACCAATTGCTTTAAAATTCACAAAGATATTCATAACAATGAAACAGCGAAAGGCAAGGAAACCAAAAAAAAAAAACAATAGTTAGTTACCAAATATATATGCAACAGCTGATACCAAATACAAATACAACAGTCGGAAAAGAGATGGCTGCAGATGCAGATACTAGAATAATAAAAGAAAGCAAGAGAAATATCTGTTACCTGTTGTATGAAGTCAATGTAGTGAAGCGCACCATGCTTAAACTGGGTGCCACCGCCAGGAAACGTAAGATATTCACCACTAACTTTAACCCAATTCTGGTGTCCCTTAACTTCTGCAAGCTTGGTATGTGGCACATTTTGGTACCAGATCTGAGTGAACAGGAAGCAATGCCAAATAAATAAATTAATAAAGACTGAATGAAAGAAAGAAAGAACAAAACAAATTAAGACAAAACATACTCATTTTGATAAATTATACCTGCTCCCGACTTTTGGGCCACTCAATTGAACGTCGATATCCTTCAGGAAGGGGAACAAGGCAGGTAGGTGAGTCTTCAGGGCAGTGCCTCTCCCTGTGTTCGTAGTGCTTAGTTGAAGGAAGCTTTTTTATTGCCTCCAAGTTATCAAGGCACGGAATGTAGTCCGTCCCGGCAGTGGTTTTACAAACCTTCCAGCTGTATTTAATCTGATTTTCTGGTTGAGACGGCTTTTGGACATTTTTTTCATTTTTCGACTCTGTTGCCTGAGTCGGAAATGATCCGTTCTGAGTTGCAGGCTCATCCGTTAGCTCCGATTGGGCTCCGGAAGGAAAGACTTCACTTGATTTGTTCTTTTCCTCAGCGGACTTCTCATCTGTCTTGTTCTCCACCTTCTCGTCTGTCTGACCCTCTTCCTTATCCCCATCCGTTTTGCCCAAATCTTCTTCAGAATTCTTCTCCCCGTCATCTGGTGTGCTGTTTTCCTGATTTTCGGAGTCTTGATTCGCCTGGGATTCCGCATCAGATTTCTTTTCGCCGTCTCCGTTTTCTGGCTCATTATTAGACCCCTCATCCTTCCCCTCATTTCCAGCCTTCATGTCATCGGATTCCTCTGCTTTCTTTGCCGGCTCCTTGGGTGGATTATTTTTATCCACCTGATTCAAACCAGTCTCATCTGGTGTATCTTTCTTATCCACCTGGTCATTTTTCACGTCCCCCTTGGTGGCCTCCTCAGGCAAATCAACAGGGTTATCCTCAAACTGCTTCGGCTTGCCCTCGTCGGTTTGGCTTTTGCCGTTATCTTCGTTTGCATTATTGTTAGAGTCCTCATTTTTAGCCTCGACTGTGGTCTCTGCGGCGGGCGTTGTCACCTCATTTTTTGTGTCCTGCGAGACATCCAGATTCTGAACAGGGACCACAGAGGACGATGTCATCATCCATATCCCGACCAGGCAGACGGCCACAAAGACCACAACCGTGACGGTCGAGCAATAGCCTGATGAAGATTTCCGACCATCCACTCTAGAGTATTTTCCTAAAGCCATGATTTGGCTTGTATGTTCCGATGGATATGAGGATCTTTTTTTATATTATTACACCTACAACACAAGTGAACCATATTAATTCACCATTAAACCGGTTTCGTGATAATGGTATCGGACTTCATTTAGAATCAAGCAAGCACAGGCGTAGCAGCAACTGCTAGGACAGCAGGTAGTACGACCTACTCACTAGCAAGCATTCAAATTCTTCAAACCTAAATCATAATTGCCTTACCAGCTAAGTACGAAATCATAAAAGTGGCAAGCAGCATAATTTATTGCACCAAGAAGATCTGGGCATAATACCAACAGATACAAAATCCAGATATTCATCAGATCACAATTAGATACGCATAGATCGACGATCAAAACAGACAACATTCAAAAAGATTCGCTTGCTTTCGAAATTGGATCACATCTGCGTTAATCTAACCAATGCACATCTAAAATCTAAATGTTCGAACGCAGAGTTGAATGGCAACAAATCTTACCAAACAAACAAGATCAGATCGGAAACGAATCTTGACAACGATTTGAGATTCCTCGACGCGCATTGTGAAAACAAAAGGAGAGACGAGAGAATCAGCTGGGATAATAACATACCTTTTTTACCTTAAAGTTATCAACACAGATCTGAGAAGAATAAAGATGAAGCTCCGCTCATCGTCGTAGGATAACTTAATAATACTCTCTCTCTCTCTCTCGTTTAAAGAACTAAATAAGGTTGTAGAGAAGAATAAATAGGAGACGCAAGTAGGGCCATTTTTATATATTCTATTCTATTCAGGAACTGGAGACGGTGAGCATTCAAGGAATATTGTGTTTTGACTTTTTTTTTTACAGAAAACAAAAATGAGGATTTTTATACAAAAGGAGAAAGAAAATGGAGGAGACAACAGTGAAAACTAAAAAATGTCCGTGAAAATCTACCATACAGTTAGTTTGTGTGAGAACGCGTGACATGGACGTCTAACAACAACTATAATCATTTTTTTTTTTTCCCAAACAAGTAGTATAATCTGTTATGAAATAATAAATTAACTAGTGCATTAGTCATGACTAAACAATATTAAATAATAATTATAATTAGATCTCGAGTTTGAGTGGTGGGGAACTGAAAGATATTTTTATTATGGCATTAGTTCGATAGTTCGAACAAGCATCAGGAATCACAGAAAAAGGGAAGATCTTGAATTATTTTATTTCCTTAATTAAGATTATTTTGTATTCCATATATAAGACATTGTGGATCTTATTATGGTATTTTATCTTGTAGGAAATCGGACGTGGAGGAGATAAAAAGAGAAGAGGCGTGCATAATGAGGAGATCAAGCTTAAGAGTCCTATGGCTTGAAGAAGACTCCAACCCTAAGGAGTTTGTATAAATACCCTAGAAGAAGCTCTTATTGCGGCTGCTGAGTTTGGAGATAATTTAGAGCAATATTCGAGCTTCACATTTCTGTTCTATTCAGTTGTACACAGTTCAGTACGAGAGTTCTTACAAACTCAAGGACTGAAGCTGTTTTCTTTTGGATTTCTTTGTTTCTTCAAACTATTTTTTACTTTTACACTTAGGGAGTAAGTGTAGGATAAAAAGTCCACGGGACGTGGCCGGAGAATTAGTTGATAGGATCTGAGTAGTGTTGGCTAGGCTTGAAGGGAGTTCGAGTGTTTGTAAGTCCAAGCTATGTTCATATTTGATCTATCAATGAAAGAGCTCTGAGGGGAAGTGGGATACTTCCCTGAAGAGTTTTAAATCTTCGGTTTATTGCTTCCACATTATTCAGTTCTTAATTCAGTTCGTACCATCAATAAGCGCACTCCGTGATAATTATACGTTTTAATTGGTATCAGAGCAGTGTTCCTGTTCTAACTACGGGATAAATATCTTTGGGACTGTGTATCGGGCATCATGAGTCATGATGGGATGTCTGTTACGCGCCCTCCGTTTCTTGATGGTTCCAACTACTCGTACTGAAAATTCATGATGGTGATCTTTCTTCGATCTCTTGGTAAAGGCACATGGCAGGCTGTTGAGAATGGTTGGACTTTACCACTCCAAGAAAAAGTTCCTGCTGAGACTAAGGGTGGTGAGTCATCGGATGGGAAGTCGTCAACTACCAAAGTACTGGTTGAAAAACCAAGGAGCATCTGGACCGACGATGAAAAGCAAGCAGAAGAGGCTAATTTTCGAGCTTTATATGCTATCATGTCTGCTGTAGATCCCACCCGGCACAAGATAATAATTCAGTGCATGACTGCTCAAGAATCTTGGAGGATCTTGGAGAGACAATTTGAAGGCACGAATGCGGTCAAAACGTCAAAGCTCCAAGAGTCTCAACTGAGCTCGATGAGATCCGTATGAGGGAGGATGAAACAATTGACATGTATTATGCTCGGTTCTGCGACCTGGTTAACCAAAGTGCAATGCTTGGTGAGCCGGTTCCTGAAGCTAGACAAGTTCAGAAACTGATGAGAACTCTACCGGACATATTTGGAATCAAAATTACTGCACTAGAAAGCTTTCAGAGGATTCAGAAACTTGGCATCGATGATCTTCTCAGCGAACTGCGCACTTTTGAAATCAACCATGGCTTTGACTCTATGAGGATAAGCAAAGGGAAAGGGCTAGCTTTAAAGGCCAAGGTTCGTACTACAGTTGCTGAGGATGACGAATCCGATGAAGAATCTTTTGATCCTGATGAAATCACAAAGGCTCTTACCGTGCTCACTAAGAATGTCTCCAAGCTGAAGAAATTTCAGAAAAAGAGATTCCATGGCAACAGGTCCCTTGAAGGTGGTAGGAACCAAATTCAACAATTTGGAGAAAAGCGATCTAGCATGCAACTGAACAAGTTTCAGAATTCTAACCAAGGAGTAGAAAAAGACCAGTGCCGTGAATGCAAAGGATTCGGCCACTTCCAAAAAGAGTGTCCTAATTTCAAGAAGAAGAATAAGACATTCAAGGCTACATGGTCTGATTCCAGTGACGACGAGGAGGGAGAATCTGAAAAGACTGAGAATTCTAACTACTCTAATAACTCTGCTAAATGTCTTCTTAATGAATACAACTGTTTTACTTCCTCTGTTCATTTGACTGATGTTGAATCTGATGCAGGTTCTTACGCAAAAAACTTGAGCGAGGTGGACTCTGATGAATTCTCGGATCCTGCTGCCCAAAAACTTGTACTCCACAAGTACGCCATCGAAAAGTGTCTCAAGGCAAGGGATATCATCAACAAGTGCCAGGCTGAAAAACAGAAGATGAAGGCTATTGAACAACGTTCTGCCGAACGTGAAAAGGAGATAGACTATCTCCGGAACGAACTTCAGAAGATGAGGGTGATGACTGTTGATTTGAACGAGAGACTCATCAAATCAGACCTTCACATTGGAAAACAAGACAAGGACCTAAATAGTTGTTTTGCAAAACTTGCACTGGTTGAGCATGGGGATAAACTCAACAAACAGGCAAGTTAAGAGCAAAGTTTCACCATTGAATCTCTGCGTAACGAATTATTTGTTGTGCAAAATCTTGCAGGTGAAAGAGAAACTGAAATAGTGGTTCTCAAAGAGGAACTCAGTCGAGTAATGGAGGAACATGTGGCACTTCGGAATCACTGTTCTACCCTTGAAGAAAGACTGAGTAAGAGTGAAGAAGTTGTTCGAATGATCAACAAGCCAAGGGCATCATATGCTGAAGTTCAAAAACTAAGTCAGCAGATTGGTTCATCCAACCAAAGTAAGAATGTCCAGAACCAGAAATTGAAAGGGAAGGTTGGAGAATCAACCTCACCACTGAGTAAGGGCGATCTAACTTTTGTTAAAGAAGGATACTCAATTGACTCCAAGAAAGGTAAGCCATACTTCCAAAGGCTCAGCACAAGAATACTGCTAAGAACTTTGTACCAGTCTGTCATTACTGTGGGATTCGCGGTCATATTCGTCCCAAGTGCTATAGAATGCATAATGATATTTACACGGGTCGAATTAATGAATGGAGTCCTCTTGGTGTTCCCATGAAAGCTCCTAAGTTAAAATTTGATATAGTAAATCATGAGCAGAAAAAGATCTGGGTTCCTAAGGAACGTAAGCACGTCTGTCTGTCCTCCATACTTGCTTTGAAATCCACATCCAACTCAAACTGGTATTTTGATAGTGGATGTTCTCGTCATATGACAGGTTTGAGGTCTAACTTAACCAATATTATGCATGTCTCTTCCAGTTCAGTCACTTTTGGTGATGGGGCAAAAAATAAGGCTCTTGGAATTTGGTGCTTGAATGTTCCTGGTCTGCCCAAACTTAAAAATGTTCTCTTGGTTCAAAACTTGAAAGCCAATCTTTTGAGTATCATTCAATTATGTGATCAGGGTTTGTATGTGAACTTTACTAAAACTCAGTGTCATGTGTCTGATCAAGAAAATAAACATGTTCTTACTGGTACTAGGTCCAGGGATAACTGCTATCTTGTGGAACTTGATTTGAAATGTAACAAAACTAGTATTGATTTGACTGAACTCTGGCATCAAAAGCTAGGTCACATTAACTATCCTCACCTGATTGAACTCTCTTCCACAGGGGCTGTTCGAGGATTGTCGAAGTTGAAGAAGGAAGAACCACGAGTTTGTGGATCATGCCAAATGGGCAAACAGAAAAGGGCTTCGCATAAGAGGTTGTCAGAGGTCAGTACAAACCGTGTAATGGAACTGATCCATATGGACTTGATGGGACCAATTCAGGTTGAAAGCTACAGCGGTAAGAAGTATATTCTAGTCTGTGTGGATGATTTTTCTAGATTTTCTTGGGTTGACTTTCTTAACGATAAGTCTGAAGCACTTGATGCTTTCAAAAAACTCGTGTTAAAACTTGAAAATGAAAAACAAACCAACCTGGTGGCAATCAGGAGTGACCATGGTAAGGAATTTGAAAACCGTGGTTTTGAGTTATTTTGTGAATCATGTGGTATATTTCACCAGTTTTCTTCTCCTATCACTCCACAGCAG